CCCAGACAAAGAGCACTGCACTCCTTGGTTGTCCTTACGAGGAGCATTTTCTTTTCAGTCTGTCTGGAATCAAGCCTTGGCTCAAGGTGGCTGGGCTGAGCTCTGCAGGACGAGGACGGCAGGAGCACACCAAGGGTGATTTCCCACTTGCCAGCCGGGATTTGTGATGTGCCATGAAGGAAGATCGAAGGAAGATCCACAAAATCTCCTCCTGCTTGGCTTTGTCTCAGCCCAGGGCTGCCTGCAAACTGCAGGCAACGGGCGAGCAGCTGATGAGTTCACCACAGCCACCCTTCCCGCTTCCTACATTAGCATAACAATTACAGCCCCAGAGGCTGTAAAGAGAATACAGGCTTTAAAAAATAAACTAGAATTTAACAGAGAAATTAATAGCGTAGCAAATTGTAACGCTCAGCGTGCCGGCTGCGTGTCAGTCTCGAGCGGCAGCTGTACGTGCAGCCTTGGCACAGTTTGATTTCCAGACCTTCCGCTGCATTTGGCCATCATTTCAATATCTGCACTTCCATTTCCTGGGGAAAGAGCCTGCAGGGCACCATTCCTACTGCCACTTTCCCCAAAAGCCTGGAGTGTTTCCTGTCCCTTGCGTTTCTCTGCAGCCATGCGATGTATTGGCATTAAAATGCTGTGTGATAGAAATTGATTTATGGCAGTGATCGCCATTAGAGCTGCTGGACTCCGAGTCTTGGAGTGTTTTGGGTTATAAATCTTGATTTTTGGAGGGGCTTTCTTATTTAGTCATATATAGCTCAGCTATCAGAGCAGTTGGTAAATGCCAGTACTGGGTGCTTGCTGTGACCTGCAGTGATACCAGGGGCGAAGCAAGAGCAGCTCACTCGCGTCTTGTCAAGCATAAAAGAGCTTCAGGAACATCCTGGCTGGTGAGCTGGAAGCTGTGGAGTCCCGTTGAACGCTGCTCACGGTCTGCAGATCATACGAATGTGAAATGGTTGTAATCTGAGATGTGGGTGATGCCTGGGAAGCCGAGGGTGTCCCCAGGAAGAGCTGATGCATTCCTGTGCTTGTGGTTGTTGCATCAGGATGTTGAACTCACTCTAATGGCATTTTTTTTTTTTCAAATCCTCTGGAAAAGCAGCTATTTCGGGGGCTCTCTGTGCCAGCGGTGACCATGGCTTGTCTGGGGGAGCAGCCAGCACTGATGCCAATAGTTCCTTTGGCTCTTTTTCTGACTGAGTCAGATCACTCAAGCATTAACCTTAAAATAGCAACTATTTCTGTTGTTGATATAATTAATCTCCTCCGTGTGTATGTTCCTTCCCTATTCCAGGCTCTGATGCTTCACCACTCCCCTGCTGACCCACTCCTGCTTTGGCACAAGAAAACTCTGACCAAAACTTGGCTTTTCCACGAAAAACCCACAAACTACAGGCTGTGTGTGCTCTGCTCCGTGAGTTCGCTGCCAGGCTGGTGTCTCCAGTCACAGATTGCTCGCTCATGTGGTCTGTTGGCTTTGGAGCATCTTCTCGATCTGATTTTGGGTGGGTGGATGTGGAAGGGGGGATGTTCACAAGCTGACAGGACCGGGGGGGTGACACTGGCCACAAAGACAACTGTGATGGACGGGTGGGTGGGTGGGTGGGTGGATGTGTGGGTTTTGTGATGCAGTAGGAAAAAGCGGTTTGGAAAAGCCCGAAGCCTGAGCGGACCCCGTAAGGCGCCTCGTCCAGCCCTGGGAAGGGGAGGAGCGAGGAAGGGGATGGGATGGGCTTACCAGAGTCCATCCCCTGCCTCTCTTCTCCTTTTCCTGGGGCAGCTCCTGCGTCAAAGCACATCTAGGAGTGCAAGTGTGCAATACTGGATACTACCTCATCCCAAATTTCCCTCCCCACAAATAGCTCCAGCCGTGCCCAAAGTGGGATTCGGTGGGTCCTGTGCTTGGGCTGTGTGACACCACTGATTTTTTTAGGTCTGAGCACATCAGTGAGGAGGATGAAGGGGAAAAGAAAATATCATTTGTGATGATGCACAGAGTGAGCACACGCGATCGGGGCAGACTGCACCTCCTGCTTGCATGCAGTGCTATTCCCACGAGGCAGCTGCAATCCTGGCAATTAAATCAGGAAGGATGCGTTGGGGAAAGCCCCCGTGATGGCAGTCTGAGGATGCTGATTAAATGTGCACAGCCTGGTGAGCCCACGTGGAAGAAAAGGCTGCGTGGCTGAGCCTGACAGACTTGCCGTGTCCTGGGGAAAAAGAACTCCGAGGTTTTATTAAACACTTTCAAGTAGATACCGAGGAAGGAAAAGCTTTGTGCAGACACACACTCGGCTGTGCAGCCCACACAGCTCCCAGCCTTTACAGTGAGAACGTGGAGCATCGGATCCATCCCAACCTCCAGCGCTGGCGTGGCAGGAGGGGTAACAGCTTCCCTTTGAGCAGGAACCCGCTATGACTGTGACAGCAACAGCAAATATCACCCAGGGAATGATCATTCCCATGGCTGCACTCTGGGGATCAGACAGCAGAAGCCCTGCAAGCGGCACACATTGCTTAATCAAAAAGCCAGCCTGGGTCAGGCTGGGCTGGCTCTGAGCTTGTCCTGCAGTTGCTGGTGGTGGGAGATGTGAGCAATGCCTGAGGTCTGTCTTGGAAGAGAGTGCCAGTGGCATTTCTAAAGCAAAACTACACTCAAGGACTGGCCTGCAGTGGATTTTCCTCTGAGCAAACAACCCAGCTCCTTTCCGGGCACACTGACCACATTCAGCTGGGCATGATTGTTTTGTGTCCCAGTTGCTGTTCAGATTTCAGTCCTGTCAGCCCCAGGAGTCTTTCCATGTTTTGGCTGTGTTTCTCTGCCTGTAGAAATGTCACTTCATCCTAGAAAATGTCACTAGGGTTGTTATTTAAACAGTAATAGGGTTAAAGCTAATAATTGGGAAGTGCAAGTGACTGGCTTGCATAGTTTCCGATTACTTTTCTCCTCTCATTTGTGTGATTTGAGTTCTCAGCGTTTCATGTGGTGGAGGCAGGGTAGAGTTTTAAATAGAATTAAATCCTTTCAACATCAGTTTTGCAGCAGCAGAGCCTGTGCTAGAATGCCTGTGCTGTGCAGGGAAGGTTTGGGACCTCGCTGGACCCCCAGCCAGGTGCTGACAGGTGACACTGCACACAAAAGGACACTCCTGCTGCAATAGCCCAGGGACCACAGATGAAGGGAAATACTGCAAAAATTGGAGTTTTGCTGATGGGCAGCAAGGAAGGAGCTGCACAGGACATTTTTGCAGCACATCTGGGGACTGGACTGGAATCTGATGAGGCCTATGTTGGAGCTGTAGGCAGGCCTGCGTTCTTAAAAGCATGCAAATGCTGGAAGTGACTGGGAGGGATGCTGGAGGGGAGACACAGCCTCACAGAGCTCTCTCTGCCACGTGCTGCCAATCCCCTGTCGCTCAGTGCCATCCCTGCAGCTCATCCCCCAGGCTGTGCCGCTGCTGGGACATGGTGATGGTGTTTTCATCCTCTTCTGCCTTAATGAGCTCGTTTGTGTGAGGCTGGGTAATGGAGGACGAGGCATTTTAGAAACATCCACTCGGGGAATGTATCCCTGGAGAAGTGAGTGTCAGGACACGTTTGGCTGGTTAAAAACAATAAAGGTGCAAAGAGCAGTGCTGTGTCAGCTGTGCTCCTCTGTGTCCTCTGCAAACACTCCTTGTGTGCTGTGTTGGGCTCTCCACAGCCTTGCAGACAGGTTTTGCTGTATCCAGGCACAGATTTTCCCCCCTTTGGCTGCTACCATGGGAGTCCAGGCATGCCCAGGCAGCTCCAGCAGGGCCCTCATTGCAACACAAGCGGGAAGAAAACTGGATTTATCGTGTGCATCAGTACAGCTAATGACTGCACACAGACACTGAACTGCACAAAGCCCTGCGTGGGTCTGAGGTGGGGAAAAGCTGGGTGCTGCTGCTTTTAACACTTGTATGGTTTCCTAGCTGCACCACAAGCCTGCTGTAGATTGAATCTGTGGGGCTTTTGAAGTGATTGAACTTCATCTCTCTCTAGGTACACATTGCAGAGAGAGTGAAGGCTCAGTGGAGCCCTGGTGTGAGAGACTGGTAGAATCACAGAAGGGTTTGTGTTGGAAGGAACCTTGAAGATCATTTAGTCCAACCCTTTTTCCAGGCAAGGACACCTTCTACTAAACCAGATTGCTCAGAGCCCCATCCACCCTGGCCTTGGACACTTCCAGGGATGGGGCAGCCAGAGCTTCTTTGGGAAACCTGTCTGAGGGCCTCACCACCCTCAGAGAGAAGAATTTCTTTCTGGTATCTAATCTAAACCCTGCCCTCTGTCAGTGTGAAGCCATTCCCCCTCATCGTGGCCCTTCATGACCTTGTCCAAAGTCCCTCTCCAGCTCTCCTGGAGCCCATTTAGGCACTGGAAGGGGATCCAAGGTATTCACAAGATATCCTTCTCTTTCCCAGGCTGAACAACCCCATTTCTCAGCCTGAGCATCCCGAGCTGAAAGGGTTCAATTTGGATCTGACTCTTCTACGTGGGGAACAGACCCCTCTCCACGTGGGGAACCCAGGGGTTGGAAAATGCTTCTACAACTGGAGGTGTTGATGTCCCGCCAAGGTCACCCCCGGACTCCGAGCTCAGCCTTGCTCCAGGCTCTGTGTTCCCACCGCCAGCTCTCCTTCTCCTCATTCCCCGCCGCCCATCAGCCCCCCCCCCAAGCAGGACCCCGATTCCAGACATTTCCCTCCGAGTGTTCCCGCTGATCCCTACGGGGCGGTTCGGGGGGGTTCCCGGCGGCGGGGGCTGCTCTGGAATCCCCCTCCCTCCCGGGTCCTTCCTCCATTGGGAGCGGCGGGGCCGTGCCGGATCCCCATCCCCATCCCCATCCCGCTCCCGCAGCGCGGGGCGGAGCGCGCCGCCCCCCCGCCCCTCCGCGCCCCCGCGGCCGCTCCGCGCCCGGCGGCGCAGGGCGGGGAGGGCGCGTGGAGCCGGGGACACGCACACGGACACGCAGCGCGGCCCCGCAGCGCGGCTCTGCGGCCAAACCCCGCCAACAAAGACCCCTCCGCCCCCCTCGCCGCCGCCCCCCGCGGGATGTAGCCGGGCCGGGAGCCCCAGCGAGGCAGCGGCCCCGCCGCTCCGTGCCCCGCAGCGAGGCCGGGAGGCGGCGGGCTCAGAGGCGCTGCCGCCACCATGGGCAAATCCAACAGCAAGTTGAAGCCTGAAGTTGTGGAAGAGCTGACCAGGAAAACGTACTGTGAGTGCCCGGGGGGCTGCCGGGGGGATGCCGGGGGTGTGATGGGATCCGCGCTGCCGCCCGGCCCCGCCGCTCCCCCGGGTCGGTGCCGCGGCGAACGGCGGCTCCTGCGGGGCCGCTCCCGGGGAGGGCGCAGGCTCGGCCGGGCTTTGTTGGAAGAATTCAGGGATTGGCCTGGGAGGAGGAAAAAGCCCATAAGGCAGCAGAGACACGGAGAGGGGCAGCGAGCCAGGGGAACGCGCTGGTTTTTTTTACAAAAACCATCCTCCGTGGCCTATTTCTGAGCCTCCGGAACGGCGGGGCCAGGGCCGCATCCTGCCCGCCCGCGGCGCCCACCGGAGCATCGCGCCCTCCTTCACCGCCCCCCGCCCCTGCCCCGAGCATCCTTCCCCCCGGGCTGCCTGGTACCCAGGGCCCGCCGAGGGCATTGCCCTCCCCGGAGCCCCGCAGCAGCTCCCGGAGCAGGGTGCCGAGCGTCTGGGTGGCTTCCAAAGTTTGGGTGCGTTAGTTGGAGGGGTTCCCTTTGTTATTGCGCTCTGAAGTGGAGAGAAGAGCCCGACACCGGCGAGTTCGATATTTTTCTGAGTATCTCAGTATCGGTTTAATAACCTGATTTTCTGAGCGAGTGGCTTTCCCGTCTGGACCTCCGCTGTAATCTAATTAACATGGCTGGTGCCTCAGCCATCTAGTTTTAGCAAAATCATTTTTTTTTTCCTGAAGGATGCACAAAGGAAACAAAGGCTTTGGTGGCTCAAGTTTGCTTCCCCGCTTGCAGGTCGCAGACATTCCCCAAACGTGCAGCAGACCTGCAAGCTCTCCCCTCTGTCATTGCTGCAGTCCCACGGCAGCGCTTACCCAAAAAGGCAATAGATTAGGATGCAGCAAGTTCTCCCATATGGAGAAGAGGCAATACTGGTGCATTGCACAACCCTACACGCGGGGTTGCTCTCTGCCGTGGCACAGCAGGCGGGAGGAGGGCAGGTGGCGGGGGCATGTCCGCATCGCCGAGCCGGGTGTGATGGTAGGAGGGGTTGGGGTACCCCGGCTGGGCTTCCTCAGAGTGCCCAGGGGGAGGAAGTAGTGAGGAGGTGGCAGTGCCAGGTGGGCACAGCCCCGGCTGGAGCTGAGCTGGGTTTTGGTGTCCTCACTGCAGCTGTCACCCAGGGCGAGTGCAGCCGTGCCGGGCCAGGTACCGTGAGTGCTGTGCTGCAATCGCCCGCTCGGTTTGCAGCCGCTGTCTGACCTGATCTCTGATGGAGACGAATCTGGGAACTGCCAGCCCCAGCACAGCCTCGTCTGCTGGTGATCTCCTGTGTGCTGGGCTTTCTGCACACCTGGGCTGGCTCCTCTGCCCAGGAAGGTGCCAACACCAGTGGGGCTGACACGGGGCACACAGGCTGTGGTGCCCCATTCTTACTTGTAGCTGCAACACAGCACTGGTGAAACCCCTGTCTTTGGGCACGGGGATGTCTCTTTGCTGGATAAGGCCAGCAGGTCATTGCTTTTTTGAACCCCTTCATTCCCAGCTTTCTGCTCCTCTCTTTTGGGTGCCCTCCCCTTTCCACTGCACCCCTTCCAAGAAAGACTGTGGTCCTCTGATCCCTCCATCAATGAGTCTCCAGTCTGTCTGGAGCTTTGCCTGCCTGCTCTGGACCCCTCGCTGCCTCTTTTTAGAGACCCCTGTACCTGTGCAGGTGAGGCAGCAGCACCCAGCAGCACGTGGCCTTTGCGTGGCAGGAGTCTGGTGCAGCATCCCAACGTGCCCCAGCAGCATGTGGCTGGTGGTGTGGTGCCTGTCAGGGAGAGCTGTCACTAATTCCAGGATCTGTTTGTTGAGCTCTGCTCATTCCACCTCTCGTCTCTGGGATTAATTACTTTTGCTGAGCGCTTCTGCCCCTTTTCTGCAGCTGTCAAGGCGAGCGTGCATTCCCTTGTCTGGTGAAGCACTTCTCAGGGCCCTCCCAGGCACGGCTGAGAGCCTCTGATTTATCTTCAACCCATGGGAGATTGGAAAGACACCAATTTCCTTCTGTGTTTTGGGGAAGCCAGGCAGAGGAGAGGCAGGTAGGAGGGCAGGGCTGTGCTGAGTGCAGTGGGAGGAACTGATGCAGACCCCTGTGCTGTGGCTGGTGGAACAGCTGGAGCAGGGGACAGTCATCCACACAAATCCATGGCCTGCTCAGGAATTTCTGGGGGCCTGCTTGGAAAAGGTTTTTTTTTTCCCCACAGCATGTTGATATTTAGGCAAGTTGCTGGCAGACACAGGAGCATCTGTGGCCTGTGCTGCCTGTCCCATGTCCTGGCTGCCACGTTACCAAGCCTTGTGTGTGGTGCTGTTTCTGCTGTTGCTACAGCACATCTGGGCAGATGTCTCCAGCAGCCCAAACTGATGGGAACCTGCATTTGTCCCAGGGAGGTTCCTGTGGCAGCATGAGCTGTGGCTGTGGTACGTGAAGGGCTTCTCCCACACTGGGATTTCCTTCCATTGCATCATTTTCTCTTTGTATGAATTCCCACACAAAACAAAGCAAGTACCAAAAAGGCCCCTCTCAGTTCTGCAGGATCAGAGGGAAATGCCACCCCCTCTCCTTGCCCCACACAACTTTTCTGCTAATTTATCTCTTCCATGGGACACAGAGAACCTCTGTTTTCCCTCAGTGCTCTTCAGTGCCTGGTGGCTTCTTGTGTCCCTTGTCCTCTCTGAGCTCTCCATCTCCTGTTTGTGGTGTTTTTCTGGCTGGGCCTCAGTTGCAGCAATCCTGGGACAAGCAGAATATGAGAGCAACCAGGAGAGGAGCAGGGAAGGCTCAGGTGCCAGGGCAGCTGTGGACAGGGAGGTTGAGCTGAGGATGCTGCAGGGCTGCCGTCAGTGTCCTCTGTGAGCTGTGAGAAATATTTTCCTCCGTGCATTCAGAGCAGGCTGTCCCAGGCCCTGCTGGGAACTGGACATGGAAAGGCAGGAGCCTGCAAACCTCATTTCTTGGCTCCCCTCCCCACTCTGCTCCTGATTTACAGTGCTGGGGGCCAGATTTTAATGGCACTTGGACACCTAAAGGCGCAGAAGGGCTTCTTTGAAGTGCTGGCTGCCCAAGTCCTGTTGGTTTGGACCCATCTCCTTGTGCCTTTCTGTGTCTCTGGGCACCTGAGTGCCCAGGAATACCTGGCAATGCCAAGCTCTGCTGTCTGCCAGGGGCTGGAATTGTGCTGGTGGGGACAGCCAGGCTGCAGGGCTGTTTAACCCTCCTTGGAGACCAGGCTGGTGCCACACAGGAGCATGCAGAAGAAGTCAATGCTGAATGATATTAGTACTGAATAATAAATTATGTAATTCTTTGTACTTTTATACATCCTTTCATCGAAAAGTGCTTTATAATAATTAATTTATTAATTTATTAATCCTCCTCATGCCTCATTGGGGCAGCTCAGAGCTGCAGGTTGGTGCTGTGTCCCAGGAGGGGGTAACTCCTGAAACTTGAAGGAATCACCATCCTCCTTGGATGACATCCTCTTCCATGGGGATTTAAACCTGAGCTTAACTTGGGCCAGGTGCTCACAGCTTAGGGCCACAGTGGGATTTGGGATTGTGTTTGAGAACCAGAGGGTTCTGCTCAGGGTCAGAGGGTCAGTCAGGGTCCTGAGGTGTGACTGTGGCCTGAATGAAGAGTGTGACCTGCAGTTGTGGGTGCACAATAAATGTCCTGGGTGGAAATGACTTGGTGTGGACTCCTGGGAGAGAAACTGGGAGAGAAATCAGTTCTGAATGTCCCTAATCACAGCAGCACTCCCAGTCCAGTAACCCTTAAAACCACGAAGTAGATTTTAAAATGTGCACTTGTTTCAGAAGAGCACATTTTAGCTCTCTTTTTTTCAGTCGTTTTGGGGAGGATTTACTTTCAGGGTTCCCTTCACACAGCTGTTGCCCATGTCCAGAAGTAGCACTGTGTTATTTTTGGGGCTGCAATCAGGCATGCTCAGAGCTCTGTCGGTGCAGCAGCATCGCTCTGGGGTCAGCGTGGTTGGGGATGATGGTCCTGGTGCTCCTGAGGCCACCAGGTGAAGTGTGGGAGCCACGACAAGGGTGCCAAAATGACTCCCAGGCTGCAGAGTGGGAGCGAGGAAGATGCTCTTTTCCCAAGAACCGCATCCCACCCACTGTGATCTATTTTGTGGATTTTATACTCACTCCAGCATCATCATTTTCTACTCTTTCACAATAAGCTGCAAAATTGGCTCCGTTGCTAGACAGTAATGCAGGGAATTAATGGGCATTAGTTTAAGAGCAAACTATAAACATATTGATTTGTAGTTACGGGGGTACATGGTGGCAGGTGGAACTCTGTGGGAAAGGAAAGGAAATTCTACGACTGCAGCAGTTTCCAGCCAGGAAAATGGATTGGTTCCTTGCTGGCTGAGCCAGGTTGGGGCTTTGCTCCATCCTGCCACCCCAGTGCTGAAGAAATGTGCTGGCTGGGACAGTGGGCAGGAGCAGAGGAGGGACTTTGGTAGGTCCCCCGCTGCTGCTGGTTTATTTTTAGCCTCCAAAGTGTTTGGCCCCAGGCACTGGGTTTCTCTGCCAGGTTGGTTTGTGTTGAAATCCCTCCTGTTGCTCATCCAGCAGAACCTGGGGTGAGCTGGCCGGGTGGCTACAGACCTGTTATCCCTCAGTGGCAAACGCTGGGTGAAATTGTCAGTGTGGGTGACTTTTAACAGGGCTTGGAGCGACAGGACAAGAGGGAATGGCTTCAAACTGACAGAGAGCAGGGTTATATTGGATATCAGAAAGAAATTCCTCCCTGTGAGGGTGGTGAGGTACAGGGTGCCCAGAGAAGCTGTGGGTGTCCCTGGATCCCTGGAAGTGTCCAAGGCCAGGTTGGTTTGGGGCACTGGGGCAGGACAATGGGCAGGAGGTGCCAGAGGGATGCCCAGGGGCTGGAGTTTGTTTGGGGCCTGATTTTTGCTGCAGCCACGTGTAAGCCAGAGCTGTGAAGGGGGTTGCTGTG